CACTGCCTCAATAATGCCTGCTACATTCATTGCCCTAAGCTAGATATTGAAGATTCAAAGATGAAAAACAGCCCAGACCATATACTCATGGAGCACATAACCTGCTAGAGGGTAAGACATGTAGGAAAGAACCTACCACACAAGCTAGAATGGGATAAGTCTAAGAGGTTAAACAGGAGAGGAAAAGCAATTGGGAAGAGAAGGATCACTTCTGGTTGAAGAATGTGAGTCTTTCTCTTATTAAATATCATCTAAAGAACACTGAGACCAGTTGAATGATGGCTGCCAATTGTCACCACGTGTGAATTTTTTGGAGCAGAAGGCATGTGGTTCTCAACAGAATCCTGGAATCTTAAGAAGATTCTGAGACCACCATGCTAAGCTAATATCTGAATAAAATAATTTTCTCCATAACAGACCCTACATGTAAAGAATCCCTTCTAGCCAAGAATTCCCCTGGTTTCTGAAGCAGCACATTAGAAAGAATCCCAGAATCTGAGGGTGGGGAGAGACCTCAGAGCCCATCTAGGCCAGCCAAAAGAACAAAGCTTTGGACTGTTTATATCAGTTAAATATTTCTCAATAAAACTACCTATTGCTTCTGGTTCTGCCTTCTGGGGTTAAGCAAAGCACATGTAATTCCTCTTTCACCTGGAAGCACTTCATACACGTGAAGGCCTGGCCTCCTAAAGCCTTTTCTTTTCCATTTTAAACATCCCCAGTTCTCTCAACTGGTCTTCATATAGCACCTTCTCAAGGCCTTTCATCATGCAGGTCACTGTTCCTTGGACACTTGTCAGCTTACCAATATTCTTCATAAAATATGGCACCCAGAATTGAACCTAATATGCATAAGAAGTTTGATCAGAGCAGAGGACACTGACTAATCATGGATGATAAAGGTCAAACATAATTAATCAATTTAATCAATCAAAATTAAACAACACTTATGATAGAGAAAGCATGATCTAGAGCAGGGGTGTCAAACTCAGAAATCAAGGCCCCCTAAACCATACATAAGGCTCCCTGCCAGTCATCATTGACTTAGAAAACTATACATTAACATTATCTATATTTTGCTGTTTTAAATTTTTTTTTGTTAAATATGTCCCAATTATATTTTAATCTGCTTTTGGCTACCTTCAGGAGTGTTTCGGGCCACATGTGGCCTGCAGTATTTGACAAGGCTGGTATAGAAGATCAAATGCTGGAGTTAGAGTCAGAAAGACCCAAGTTCAAATCCTTCCTCAGTCACTTATTATCTATGGGACCATGCACAAGTCATTTAAGCTCTCAGATACTCAGTTTCCTCATCTGCAAAATGTGAATAATAATACCTATAGTACCCACCACTAGATGTTCCCAAAGTCTTAGCTATTCAAGTTTAAACCTGCCCTAAGACTTTGGGAACATTCTGTATCTATATCTATGTCTACATCATCATCATCATCATCAATATATACACACAGCTATACACACATACATATATGTACATATATATACACATATGTCTGAGTGTGTGTATCTATGAAGTGCTTTACATATTTTAAAAAGTGCTATATAGAGGATAAGAACTGGATCCATGATTTCATTTTTATAGGGAACTCCCAGAGGAGGAAAGCTCCTCTAACAATCCAGGTCAGCTTCTCCTCTGTAATACAGACTATAAATATGATTATTAATGCCCTTTTGCTGTGCCAAGTAACATACAAATCAAGCTAAATAGTGAGTAACTACTTTTAGAGTATTTATAATGCAAAACATCTAAGTAACTAAATCTAAATTCCAGGCACAATATGACTGATGAGAATTTCTGATGACTTTGCTTCATAGCTTTAAAAAGAAAGAAATAGTATTCTGAATCTATTTAATCTGAAAGAAATTCATCGTATTTAACTTTGTGATTTCTATTTCTTAGAAGTGCACAAAAAATTCCACTGTTGATAGTGAGGGGTAAGAAATCTGAGGATTCCAGAGTGAGGGCTAGGAGACTTTTCCCTAAAGATGTTGTATCGCTACAGTTCAGATGGTAAAAGATAGATAGGACCAATGGAACAAGGAGTCATTAATTTTCTGTTAGCCTGGAGTATTAGAACATCAGATCCAAAAGTAGCCTTCAAGATTATCCATTTATAGGTATACAATTTTACAGGTGAGAAAACTGAGGCTTTAAGAAGTTAAATCTAATGTGTGTCACAGAGCTAATGAGTGTCAGAGGTAGGACTCAAACTCTGATTTTCTGATTGCAAGTTGAAGACTTTTTCTACTGTACCACATTATAAATGAATTATTTAAATGCGAATTGCATTTGTTAGCATTTTATCATAGTAGCTGCTAAAAACCTGACTTCCTTTGTGTTAGAGTCATTGACTTTTATATTATTTAAAAAATAAAAAAAAAAGAAACAAAAATTAGAATTCTTCCTCCTCACAAGTCTGTAGAGGGCATCTTTCCTCAATGAAGACTGAGGGCACAGAAGAGTGGAGCAACTTAATCTGGATTCCTCCTTCACCTTCACAACCCAATCTTTCCCTTACTATTCCTTTCTTCTCTTGAAAATTACTCACATTTCTCTGTCCCTACCCCTACCCCACTACCACCATTCAAAGAGATGCAAATAAGATGCAAAATTATATATACTGTCTCATCATGCTTCCCTATCCATTTTCTCGCCTGTTTTTAAGAGAGTGCTCCTTGCAAAGATTAGAACAACCTAGCACTTCCAAATGATACTAATTATTACACATAACTTCTAATCATGGATAAATTCCTCGGGCCTGGAAAGTACTGACTCACATACTGAACACACATTATCCAGCAAAGAGTTAAAGCCACTATTGATTATGCCAATATCCAAGCTAGTGACCTGGAAACAATAACCTGTTTTTTTTTTTAAATCCCCCTGACAAATCACTGAACTATTCAGTCCACTGGAAAATACAAGCCTGAAAAAGAGAAGCCTTTAAAACAATCACGCCAAGAGGACCAAAAGTGCCAAAGTAACCGAATGATTTTCCCATCCTAAAATCAAAAACAGGCTGAATTTGGAGTCTATGATACATTCTAGTAAATTGGCAATATGATAAAAAGCAAATGGCAATAAAAGTTTCTAGGGGAAGGTATAATAGATTATGAATCATTGTGCTAGAACTGAATGTGAAGTCATAACCAGGAGACTGTACTTGGTAAAAAAAAAAAAGTTATTTTCAAGGAATATTTCCCTCAATTTTTTTTGTTTAATCCCTATCACAAAGGGATATCTTCTTCCTAACTTATACATATCATTGTGGACTTTCACACTATTTTGAATTCTAATAAATTGTGTGTATGTTTTATTCTTCCCCTTCCCCTCCTGGAAGGCTAGTTCAAAGTCATATTGATCATTCTATCCCATTTCCACCCAACAGAGTACCATAGTATAGTAGACACTCAACAATTATTTACTGAAGCAGAAACTTCTGTTTCAAAACCTTTTTTCATTATTTTTAATTTATGAATTCATAGCATCTACAGCAAAATAAAAACATATGTAAACCTTGGAGCCGTGTTTGTACATATTAATTGCAGAGAACAGAAGTTCTTATCATTTGATATTACAATGTGCACATTCACAGATTCTCATGAAAGAACAAGAGGAAGGCCTCTAGTGCCCTGGGTAGTGCCTTTGTGAAGGGCTTATGGGAAAGCATGGACAAGAATGACACAGGATGACAGGTGGGGAGGGGTTTCAATCAACATTGGTACAGGGAGCTCAGCTCAAATAAAATTAGGATTCAGCCAAGTGCAGCATGTATATATTCAATTCAAGTTTCTCATTCCCTTCTAGATTCATTTTCTAATCTGCTCTTTGACATCTGATGAAATTCGATGCCTGCATGATGTGTAAGATTTTTCTAAAGAAAATAATTAACAATAATAGCTATTTTTGGAGTTCCCAACATTAGGTACACTGATATATTTATTTAAAATATAAAAGCGATGAATATATATGCATATTTAGATGCATATATGCACACATCCTATTTATATAGAAGATATAGGGGGTCTTAGAGTTGCTAACTGGAATTCTAAATAAAATTGTCTAAACTAACAAGTTTTAAGATGCTTGATAAAATAAAATTGCATAAAAAGAAATTGTGTGCTCTCGATTTCAAAACTCTCCTTCCTCTTTCTTTCTTTCTTTCTTTCTTTCTTTCTTTCTTTCTTTCTTTCT